CAGTCTTTTATATCATGATACTATGAAATGTTTTATTAGCTGCTATTAATAGTTGCAAAAAATGTTGTACGACAGTTTTTATCAATTTTAAATATAAATTATGTTGCGAAATGAGAATCCTAAATCATATCTTATTATCCAGGACACAAGAGGTTTATGTTTATTTAAGACTTACAAGTAACAAAGCAGTCCAATATAAAACAACATATATTAGATGAATGTGATGAACCACCAAATTATAATTATTTTTGCTAAGGTTAATGATGAACTTCAGTTAAGGATTAAAAAGAGCATTTTAATATGTAGACATAAACCGAAATTAAATGAAACGAATAATGCTACAGAACTACTTCTAATTTCCCCGAAAGGGAAACAAACACCGCCTGGAAGGGTTACCTGATTTAACCATTCGCACCAGTATATAGTAGTTGTTGTCTGACAGTCAGTTAGTTGACACTAAAATGACGTCACATAAAGGATGCTTAACGTTGCAATTTGTACTGTTGTCACGTCAGTAAAACTTCCGCATGCCATGAATCACGAGAAGAATTATACACTCTGTAAGCTACAACACAGCATGACATATGAACTGCAAAAGCAAGAAATAGAAATATTTGTTACTCTTAATTTTGGTTAAATTTGCTCTTGAAACAGTATACTTTCGGGGACTGTGCGGATATGCATATAGTGTTAAAGATATCGCTACTTGTCATTTCCGTTTTGAGAATTTTAAATAGTTGGTATTTGCTAACCATATTATCACCTGAGCTTGGTGTGATTTCGAAAGTATGTGTATTCGTTAAGGATAAAATAATACGTTTTAAGCTGTTTGGTCATTATTTTATTTCACTTTCATATTATTTTTATTTCAGTATTACTGGCGCGTGAACAGCAGCGATTTTCATCTTCCACGAGAATGGGGGCCAGTACTCAGAATCTCCAAATATATGAAAGGCCAAAGAACTTACAAATTTACAGTAACAGGTAATCGCAATTCTCGATATTTCTAACAAGTGTCGTAAATTATGTATAGATGATAATCACTATCTCGTCCTGGTTGTATATAATGTTATGTATAGATGGTAAATCATACCGTAGAGACGAAATAAAACGCTGACAATCTACGGTGATAAAACTATTTACATTCCGATCAAAGAAGGCCCTGCATGACTCGCAATCTGCGGGTCGAGGGATCGAATCCCCGTCCCACCAAACATGCTCGCCCTTTCAGCCGTAGGAGCATTATAATGTGACAGTCAATCCCAGTAAAAGAGTAGCCCAAGAGGTGGGCGGTGAGTGGTGATGACTAGCTGCCTTCCCTCTAGTCTTTCACTGTTAAATTATGGATGGCTTGCGCAGATAGCCCTCGTGTAGCTTTGCATGAAATTCATAACAAACAAACAAAAACTACTGACTGAAAACTCAAGTCTTCAGGAAGATACTTGTGCAGTCACAGCCAACTGACTTATACTGCCATTCAGTTTTAAACTTTAAGAAAGCACTTGTATGTTTTTTTTATACCACTTAAAACTGAGTTGTCAAACGTACATTTAAAAAAAAGAGAGAACACCTTTCTGTAAACTTAGAAATTTTCTGAAGAAGTGAAACCTGAGATCGTGTATTACTTTCATGCGATTTAACGAACAATATACGAGTAAATCATGTTCACTAAACTACTCTCAGCTGAATACATCCAGGATTTTGTTGTGTTTCCTGCAAATTTGTCAAAATACAGCTTATTTTACGACGAACTGAACTGTGAAAGAAAGAAGTACAAAGACTCAGACATTTTTAGTTTAGAGTTAGTGGGAGTGATTTTTTCCTCAAATTTGGCACCTGACCACCAGTTGTTCTAACGTGATTTCACTGGAAACACACTGCTTTTCATCAAAAATACTTACACCAGTCATTCCAAACTCTGTACAAATGTAAAAAGAATCAGTACTAAAGCTGACCTGCAAGTGCAAAATTGAAAATGCTTGGAATGTTTCCAGTGCAGCAGGTGTAGATGTGAGTAAGCCATAAAAAAGTCAAAGAAGGTTTCTCTCTCTCTCTCACAAAGAGTTTGATTTGAATTTCTTGAGAAGCTACACTAGGGCTATCAGTGTTAGCTGTTCCTAATTTAACAGTGAAAGACCCACCATCCACTGCCAACTCTTGGGCTACTCTTTTACCAACAAATAGTGGGATTGACCATCACATATAATACTCCCACAGCTGAAAGGGTGAGCATGTTTGGAGAGATAAGGATTTGAACCCGTGACCCTCAGATTGCGAGTCAAGCGCCCTAACCATCTGGCCATGCTGAGCCCTCACAAAGGGAACAATACAAATAAACACCTGCAGTAAAGAACACCATCCACATATTGACCAGGTATTTTTGAGAGGTTTCAAAAGAAGTCCTTGAACATTAAAGAAGAGAACTGGGAGGAAAATGATGTAAGAGGAGAACAATTAATGGTATTTGACTGACTGATCATCATCACCCAAAGCTACTTGACCTGGCACTTCAACTTTTTCAACTGTACAAAAATGGTCGGCAGATTGTGCCCCACGTTAGCAAACTATAATTTTCTCTGGTAATTAACAGATCACTTGTTAAAATAATTATATTACTTAAAGAAAAATTGAAAGAAATAAAAAAAAAACTTTTAAATCTCTTGACATTAACAAAACTGATTTTTTACAGCAATTCTTTCAGCTTGAAATATTTAGAAAGAACAACGCAGGACTTATATTATTTTCAACAACGTTCATCATTAATGAACACATATAAAGTATGTTTCTACTGGGAAAAAAAAAGAAGCTGATATTATAACAACTTAAAACGTTTCTCATACTAACCTTGGCTTTTTTCACCTGTGTTGGTGATGTCACAGGACATATTGTGAGTTCTGAAGGAAGAGAAGCAATAGTCAGATTGGGAATGACTTTAGTTGGAGATTCAACTGCTTCTTTCTCTTGTAAAGCTTGCAACTTTTTAGCTAGTCGAAGCTGTTTCTGTTGCTGTTTCATATCAGAATTTCTTTTATCTGTAAATTCCGTCTGTTAAATAAGAAATTAAATAACCTGTTTGGATAAATAAGAATGACCACATCATTATTTTTCTGTCTGGAAATTACAGCAGTTAAATTCAGGGTACGGTAATCAATGTAGCTTTTTTTACATTAGAAAGTTTCTTTTCCCAGCCCAAAATAGCAGTATTTTCACAAGCTACATTTTTTTTTGCAGCATAATAATAATAAATAAAAATGGGCTGGCTGATAAAGACAGGGATTAGCCATTATTGAGCATATACTGAAACTGAGCATTTAAAATTATGGAAAAAAAATGGTAAAAAAAAAATGTGTAATATGATTGAATGCAATAAAAAAAACCAAAAGGATACCAGCAGAAGGAGAGGGAACTGAAGAAACTGTGCAGCTGCTACCCCCTCCTCCACCTTCATTTTCTTTTATATAAGTTCAAATTTTTTCACTATGTAAAAGAAGCTTCAAAAGTAACTTAAAGTATAGCTAGCTAATTTTTAAAAACAGTTGATGAGTATAGATAGCTAATTTTTAAAAACAGTTGATATGTATAGCTAGGTACTTTTAAAGAATAGTTGATAAGTATAACTAGCTAATTCTCAAAAAATAGTTGATAAGTATAACTAGCTAATTCTCAAAAAATAGTTGATAAGTATAACTAGCTAGTTTTTAAAAATAGTTGATAAGTATAACTAGCTAGTTTTTAAAAATAGTTGATAAGTATAACTAGCTAATTCTCAAAAATAGTTGATAAGTATAACTAGCTAATTCTCAAAAAATAGTTGATAAGTATAACTAGCTAATTCTCAAAAAATAGTTGATAAGTATAACTAGCTAATTTTTTAAAATTCTTGATAAATATAGCTAGTTAACATGTTTTAGGTGTAACATGTAGCTTTAGCTAGCTCCCGAAGAGGTACCATCATTCAAAATGCTTCTTGATAAAAGTTTTTAAAGCACATTAGATATTCTTGTGATGTTCATCTTCTGTAGTTCTTTATCTAATATTTAAATCAATGGTTTATTTATAATGTTAATTTTTTTTTATCATGCTCACAAACCTGCTTCTCTTGATTCTCTTGAGCAACAAGATATTTGGGCTTCCTTCCTCGTCTTCGAGAACCTGGTATCAGTAAAAACCCCGTAGGAGTAGGTTGACTGTTGAATGTGGAACTAAGTAAAGAGTGAGCAGTAGGGGACAGTGAGGTGGGAAGCTCACTTGGAGACAAACTCTGCTCTACTAATGTGCTATCTTCGCCTCTTTCTTGCTTCTTGATACACAAGTCTAAAGGAGCAGGCATGAAGTCACCGTCTTGTCTTGGACTTGATTCTAAACATAATGTTGTGTTGGTAGCAGTCAAGTGGGCTGGACTTGGAGAGTCTGTTCTAGCTTTCAAATTGAGAGGTTCTGGAATGTTATCCTATAATTAAGGTAGGAATGAAAACTAAGCATTTTTTTATTCAAAAATTTGAAGTTTTAAACACTAGATCATTTCACAATCTAGCATGCTCTTCATTCAATACACCATGCTGCATGTATTGTAATTGTTTTCTTTCATTTAGGCCGTTGATTAATGACAGAATAATTGTCCATCAATCTTACTTATATCATTCAATAGATTAGTTATAAAATTCAAGAGAACCAACTTTGTCTAAGTATCCATTATTTTCTAGCATGTGGAAAATGTAATCAGTATCTGCCCATAGTTACACGTTCCAAAATATATCACTGGTTACTGGAATATGTATTTGTCACTTCACAACTACCATATTAAAACTTCTTGTTTATTTCAAAAAGTTCATTTGTATTGAAGAAAGCAAAGAAGTTGTCACAGACATAACAGGTATTGTCAAGTTGTAAAAAATTACTATTCTATGTAATCAGTGCAAGTTCTAAGTTTGTGCTATTAATACCTAGACTAAACTTAAGAAAGTTGTTCTTTTGATTTTGTATGGCTATACTAAGGCATTATCATTATTATCCAAGTTATATACTGTTATACTATGGCATTATCATCACTATTATAGTTATATACTGTTATACTGTGGCATTATCATTACTATCCAAGTTACATACTGCTATACTATTGCATTATTATTACTATCTGAGTTATATATATATTGCTATAATACTAAGTATGTTGGAAAAGATAGGTTCAGCAAGCATAAAGACTAGAAATGTAGTAAAATAAACAGGAATTATAACTTACTTGTGAGGATTCAGTGTAAAGTTTACTGGTTTCAAATTAATAAAATCTATAAAGTTCTTAACTAAAGTCATGCAATAACATTAATTTAAAACAACAAGAGTCTGGCAGGTGTCAAATTGACAAATTAGCACACAACCACTCACCACTAGCACTTAGATCTTTCAATAAAAATTGTCTTTCTCACTTATTCTTTTTTTAAACACATATTTAATTAAACGGAGTAACTGTTTCACAAAGCTATTCAGCTAACCTCATCTGGTGGTTTTTTAGGAGGAGGTTCAGCTTCCTTCTTGTGCTTCCTTGGCCTTAGTTTTGATCTCTGGTGTTTACTATCATCTTCTTTTGATTGTTGCTGCGTGTGATTGCCTGTTACTTCACTAGATTCACTGCTTGCACTTTCACTACTGGAGCTATTTCCTGCAGCATTGCTACTTTCGTTGGAGTCTTCTGACTGACTCTCATTATCCGAACTGGTTTCATGTGGCAGTGCTCCTTCAGGCTTAGGCGGTTAATAAAAAGAACTTTTTTAAGCCAACTTAATATCTTTTTTTTATCATTAGAACAACATCTCATTGGAATAATAAGACTGAAATAAAATAGCCATGAAACTTTCTAACACCTTAATATTATCAAATGAAAAATTTCAAGCCTACAACATAAGTACAGAGAACAAGTCAAATAAATCTTTCTGTTTTGTACTTATGGTCTTTTTAAAAAAGTATTACGACTGACTTTAGTTCCTCCCACTATCAGTACAAGAGTCACTTGTATTACTGAGCTAATTTTAAATAGGTGGATAAAGTCACTTGATGGTTAAGTTAAAAACTGAATGTAAAGTCTAGTAATTTTATTTAGTATGCATAAAAAAAGATTAATTTGTGTATTATTTCGAATAAAAAGTCATTTTTTAAAGACTTAATTATTTTTTCACTTTTTTTTATTTTTTGAAATGAGGGTCCTTCTGTATTGAAATATATTATCTAACAAAAACATGTTCTTGGCTGGTGTAACTAACTCAGTTATACTTTAAAAACTTGCTATTGCTAATTAACCACCTATTGGTGGATCTCTCAGGAACAATTTTTAATAGCAAAGCACTTTCTACACATGAATTTATAACCAACGAAATATAGTTTATTTTAAAATTTTTACATCAGCTGCCATAAGTACAACATAATGCATAGAAAATCTTTACTGATTAAAAAACAAACACAAAAAATTTCCAAATAAAACTTTCAAAACTTATTTTATATACATTCAAAAGATTAAAATTAACACAAATATTACACCAACTACCAGCTTTCAGTTGAAAATATTGTTTTTTGACTAAATTATGTGAAAAGATGACTAAGCTGAGGAAACCATACATGTATATATATATATATATATACTTTTTACTGAAGGAATAAAAAAAGAAACTATGGAAAATATGGGCCTGACCTGCTTTTTTCTGTATTTTCCTTGAGTTTTTGTAATAACAATTTTCTGAATGCCATTCCTTGAGGCTTTCCATGTTTCTGACAACTGTGGTGACCTAGGACTGTCATCTTTCTTCTCTGTTTTTACAGATGATGTAGAGAGAGTGGACACCACCCGAAAGTCTGTCTTATTCTGTTTTTCAGAAACAGATTTCTTTCTTCCTTCTGGAACATGCACAGATGCTTCTAGAAGAGGATTATCTGACAGATTTGGTGAGGAACTTGAAATGTCACCATTTTCTTTACATTTTTCACTGAAACACGGTGTAAAAGCATGAAAACCAACGTAATCACACATCTTAAGTAATCATTATTGCAAACATTTATTCCTGAGTAACTAAATTATATTAAATCTTTAAAAACAAATAAAAAAGGAGCAAAAGGAACTGTCAAAGTTTTAGAAGCATTTATTTACTGTGTTATATATCTCAAATAACAATACTGTGAACAACTTGGTTATACTAGAAGTGTAAGCACTAAATCAATGGTGTGGTTGATTAAGAATTTTGTTTTTCGTCACCATGAATAATTGTAGGTCATTATTTCAAGAGTCAAGTCATCCGTGTGGCAGGGATATTTCAAGGAACTAAGACTATTTAAATTAAACCTAAAAAGAAACAGATCACCCATACAGAATTGCAGAAATGTGCTGTACTTTTTTTTTTGTTGCTGTCCAGGTGCCAGATTTCACTACATAAAAAAATGAAGTAAAAGCTAAATTTGAAATGTTTAGCTGTATACAAGTAAACCCACAGAGATGTATTGGGCTAAACCTTTTACCTATCCAACTTGAAATGGAGTTAGATATAACTACAAATACTACAGGCAGGTAGAAAATATTCTCACTAGAAATAGAATGATGGCATTTTTTTTTTTAAATGCCTCAATTTTTTCTAAAGTGACGATTTCAATCTCTTGTACCAGATAAGTTAAAGTTATGATCGTACAGATTCTTTTCAACACCAATAAGTATGAGAGCTCTTGAAATCCTTATCTATATTAAGATCATAATGTGTAATAAATTCTAAAAAATTCAGATTTTTTCAACACCAATAAGTATGAGAGCTCTTGAAATCCTTAGCTATATTAAGATCATAATGTGTAATAAATTCTAAAAAATTCATATATCTTTTTTTTAATAATTGCTCTGACACTACAAATGTACAAACCTATAAAATTAAAAAAATAACTAATTTCACAAATAAGACATTTTTAAAAAGCCATAGTTGTAGCAGCAATAATACCAATATTGAAAAATAATCTATCCCGTTTTCAATAAATTTAAAATACACTTTTAAGATTAACCACACTTGTTTATTATTAAAATCAGTAACTAAAAATCCATGAAATACATGATTCAAACCATTAAAAGAAAAATTTCCATGCTCTAAATTCAATGATTATTTTGCACAATTGGGTTTTAAAAACTTAATCATTTTAACACACAGAATTATTTTAAATTGACTTAGTTTTTTTGTCTTTAAAGTTTTTTTAATTCAGTAAAACTCATTCTACTAAACCTAATAATATTACTCGAGGCCAATTTGTAAGAAAAATTTAAAATAACTATTAATAAATTTGATAAAATGTAAGCTAACTCCATGGATCAAAACTAAAGTGTAACTTGAAAATTATTAAAACTGACAAGAATTAAATAATTGTCATAAATCAACACACAAGAAACTTAAAGCCTATCATAAGGCAGGTAGTTTTTTGTTTTTTTTAAAGATCCCACTGACTTCAGATTGCCACAGTTGGAGATAAAAATAAAATACTTATAATATATACATATAGTTTTTTATTTCCCACTCAGGAATAACCAAGCATAAAAAATAAATAATAGATTTTTTTATGTCTGCATCATCATCATTCTTCTGCCAAAAAAAGGGAACTTTATTACTCATTCTTGTGCAGTTGCATGTCCATAAAAGTTCCATTTCACTGGTGCAACCATATTGCCAAGATTTTTTTTCCCCTCCTCCTATTCTAATTTATTTCCAAAAAAAAACTGTAAAACTAGAAATAAAAAAAATGCTCACCTAATTACAATGCCCTGTTTTACTTTAAGCCACTTTTCCTATAATATCTCTTAAGATTTAGACAGCTTAGGAGACTTAGGTTAGTCATAAATCCACATTATATTAAGCAAATAGTGCAAAATAATTTTCATACGTATAAATAATTAATATTAATAATATTTAATATTATTTCAAGTACCAACTAACTGAATTGTACATACGTTTATCAAATTTTATAAACATTATAAATCTACAGAATAATTTTCAAGATAAAAAACTAATTTTTTGTAATTTAATAACAAATTTGAAATATACATTTTTATTAGTAAGATAATTTTAAAGGTAAAAAAAAAGTAGAACTACATTATATTATCAATATTTTTTATTTATCAACAACCTATACCTCCATTCATTTCTGCATTAAGATACAATATGTGTAAAATAAAAAAAGGAAAAACGTTTTTACCTTTTGTTCCCCGAAGTTTCTAATTCATTTGGTGAGGAAGAATTTACCCGAGTGCTGAAGGAATGATAGGATGAGGTTGAACCATTAACACCTGAAACCGGATATTACAAAAATAACAAAATAATGTTGGAAAGCAGACAGAGTGAAATCTCATTTTTAAACAAAGATAGAGAATCAAGAATCATAAAGTATAACGTGAAAGGTATGACTTGCTACTGACGGAAAAAGGAGTACCAAGAACGTTAGAAGAATAACAGAACACACACTTGAGACAGCTTTTTACTAAAAAACAGAGAAATAGCTAAGCAATCAAAAAAACAAAATCCAAAGTAAAGGGCTGATGAGCCATAAATCTCCGAGAAGACAAGACCTTTAAGTAAATCTGGGTATCCTTCTGGGCAAGAAACTTCCTCATTAAATGACTGTACAACACTGTTTTTCCCATTCTAATACTTGCCAGTTTCCAATAGCACTCTTTAATACCACTTGGGAATTTCTATATATATTAACGATTGTTTAATAATTTTTCTTCATCAATTATCACAGTTTATTATTTGAAAAATCCTCTTGTACAAAATAGTAATTTTTTAACAAAAGTAAAAAATATAACTTTAATTTTATATACAACACCAAAAGCATGTTTTTACTGAACAAAGCACTACATACATAATAAAATGTACTACTTATACAAACTGTCATCCCTATTTTAGAGATTTTCACTTCAAACTCATATGATAGTTCAGGTATTATCTCTACCAATCAAGAATTACGTACATTAATACTTAAATTTTTTCTATAATAATAAGAACAATGCAGTGCCATAAATGTGTTATTCTTTTTAAAGTCATCCATTTGTATGTGTGAAGTATACTCAATCCTTTAAGTTCATACACAAATGAACAAGCCTAAGATTCTTATTCGTGAATATTTTATATATATTTTGGGCAGTGGTATCCACAAAATTTCATCATATAAATGGGGATATGGCCTGATATTTTGTCCAGGATGACATTCTAGAGACCTTTAAGAGATAACTGGTTTAGATATATAAAATTGCACAGTGCTAAACTTTAAAAGCACACATAGAACATTTACACTAGCATACTAAAATAAAAAGCAACAGTAACAGGTTCATGCATCTGTGCACTGGTACTATAACACTAATCCTAACAATACAGGTCATTATTTCAGTATCGATGATGTCATAGTACATGCAATAAATTTTAGCCAAACACCTATTAATGGTTTCCTAAGTTTAAGATCATGCATTCAGACATTATTAACAGCTATTTTTCATGGAATATTAATGCACGAGAGACATTTGAAAAGCAAAATAATCTTATGAAACAAACTATTAGTAATGATAATGACAACATTTTAATGAAATAAATTTCTACTGATAAAAATAGTTATTAAAAAATTAACACAGAATTTGTGAGATATTAAATAAACCTCATGAAACAGAACTTCATTAATATAATGTCAAATATTAAGGAAACACAACACAATTACTTGAACACAAAATTCAAATGATGCCAGATGTTTTCATACCTTTTAACTTATTACCTCTAGTTTCTAAAAGATTGTAACATGGAAATTATAACACAATGTTATACATACTAACACACACTGATCATGATAGGTGCTATACACCATCTATTAATATTAGCAACCATTGTAATGTATTTTGTATTTAAAGTTGCTACAGCTGAACTGTAGTTTAAAATATTACGAGTGTCAAACTGCTTGTAACCATAAAACTTTTTTTTTTGCATTTTTAGTCATTGGTGATGGCACAGATTTGGTTAAAAACTTTGACTTACTTTTTAAACAAGTTTAACAAAATATATAAAAAACTTAAAAGAATAACTTTATGTTATATAAAGCTTCCAAAATTACTTGTACATACCAAACGACACTCTTTTGAATACAACAATTATCACAAATACACCAGAATGTTTTCATTTAGCACTAGTCTAACTAATATTTGATTCTCGATTTATTTCAAATATTTCCTAGTTTCTTTGTCCTTACAACAAGTAAAAAAAGAGAAGAAATACAAAACCTAACACAAAACCATGCGAGTGAATTGCATAAAAAAGCCTGCAGATGTCATGCAGACAACATCCAATTCAAATCGTGCTGTGAAAAAGGAATTACCTTCAACTTTAGGTTCATGGCAAACCTCAGCCGACGGAGGTTTTGCATAAAGATGCCCTAACATTTCCTCTATGACTGAAAGAGCAAATTAGTGATAAAGAAAATAATTAAATCTAATTTCCTTAATTAGAAAAACAAAAAAGTGTAATTAAGGAAATTCCAGAGTATCTTTAAAAAATGCTTCTAAAACCATTTAAAAAAATTAAGATTTGTTTTTAATAAAAATACTTAGACATCTCCAAAGATTAATATATTATGCAATTTTTAGAATATATTTGAAAAAATATGCACAAATGTTCCATTCTAATATATCAACAGTATAATTACTCACAGTGTTCAACAGATTTGTAAATTTCTATTAATCTTACAACTCAACCACTTAGACTCGTATGAAATACCATGCTATTTTTGATATTTTTTTTATGTGTATTCTTGAGCCTCCAGAGTCAAAATGTAGTAAAACTGCTGTTTTTCATTGGTTGAAATATTTCTTTACCCACTAGAATAAATGCAGTTTTTTTTTTTTATAAATTCTAAATTTTTATTCTATCTATGGAGAATTTAGATATTTTGGTTTTTGTCAGAATTACTTACAAGTTATCTTTATTTATTGAATTGTGACTAAAATAAAAATAAATGTTACAAACATTTGGACAATATTGAAAATTCATATTTTTTCCTCAAGTTTTTAAATGAAATGAGCCAATAAGTGCAATCATTAGGTCTAGTGTTTACACGAAACTGTCAAAATGTTTGCTTTTTTTCCCCCAAATTACCTTACATTTTTGGAAATACATATCAATTACAAAATAATGCATTTGCTACATGCTTGCACGAAAAACAGGTTATAGAGTTTACACAGAAAGATATCTAACATGCTTTGTGGCACTAAAAAGTTCAATATAACAATTTATTATACATATTAAAATGCTAAGTTTCATTTTTATACATTTCACACACAAAAAATTTTTAAATTAACGTTTAATACAAACTATATGTAAACAATAACAGTCAGGTATTAAATTACAAGCAGTTGATATGGCATGTCTGTAATTTCTGAATTTGACATTTTTCAGATCTGAAACTTGTGTTATTTTAACTGGAAACACTGGCCTCAGCATTTATTGAAGAAATAGATAGGTTGATAACACACAGATATTCATAATACCCAATGCTCATGATATCAATTTGTTCATTGTCTTGACCATCATTTGCTTTGTTACTATAAAGTTCTTTAAAAGATGTTAGCAATTGTTACCTCTTTCAGTAGCTATAAACTTTATAATGCAGCTTAATTACTGTGCAGTGATTTCTAATGAATTAATATATTATTAAATTAGTTCTATTAGGGCCTTATAAGACTTTTAATGAAAGGTGCCAATACTTTTGTCATCAACAAATATTTGATATTGCTCAAGTCCTTTTGTTTGTTTTACACAGATTGTTTGTTAAAATACCAGATATTGTGTATATTTTGGTCCTTGTAGCATTAATTATAGGCTAATGTTCACTATTTGCTTATATTTCATATATTTTCTTGAATTATCTTATATTGAGTGTAAGGAACCAATACTTTTGTCTGTGACTGGAGACAAGGGAAATAAAGCAGCTCCGTTTGGTTGGAAATGGCGTATACTTTATTTTGCAAAATTACACTGTATTGATTGTATTCACTGCAAGATAAAAAGTCAAATCTTCAAAGTTATATTCTACTTTTCTGTGTTCATTTTGTGGGATGAGAAGGAAGTAAGTAGATTTTTAGGGACAAGTATGTTTTTGTAGCATTTTGTCTCCTGAGTAACAAGTTTTTTTTTTCAAATATTCCACATTCCCATAACATATCAATTACTAGAATCATTACAACTATGTCAATTTTGTAAAAGAAGTGCAAAAGTAATATCGGACTGTTTGGTCTTTTTAGTGCACTGTCAGTTTGATTATTTGTTTCCAATCGTGATGACCAACATTACCAACAGTTATTATACCATTTCAATTTTCAGAATGTTTTACTGGGTGCAAATCATCTTGAAAATGAATTACAATGAAAATTTTGATAACCTCACAAAATTTAGATACTCATGTAACTTAAAGACAGATTTGTTTTTTTTACCCTAAAAAACTATATATACATATATAATTAGATGAGTTCCATTTTTCATTTTTTAAGCCAATAAGTAACTTCTTTCTATAATTGGAATGATTTAGGAAAAGAATAAATGATTTTGAAAACATTAACTCAGTTACAACAACTCTAAAGCCACAATTACATGCATTCTACTTTAGTTTCATGTTAACTTAAGGATTCCTTAACACACTTCTGGACTAGTCTTACAGATATACACATGTATATATTAAGGCCTAAATTTAATTCACTATTATACGAAGCAGTAGTACTGATAAAGCTGATACTTTAAAACACAAGTGCTGACAAAGAGCCAACACTCACTTCTACGAGGCTGTGGCACATGATCAGACGCTGAGGTAGTATCCAACACTATAGTGCCAGCACTATCTGGCCTAAAGCTTCCACAAGGGGAGCTGCTGTAGCTAGTCTGAAGGCTGGATGTTGCACAAAACAAGCCAGAAGTGGTGGAAACAGCTTCTGCTGGGGACCACCATGTATGGGATCCTAAATTAATGTATGGGAGATGTTGCAGAAAAACCTGGAATTTAACTAATAGTCTTTGCAGAAAAATAAAACTAAGCGTAAACATTAAATTAATACTTCAGAAGAGAAGAACTGAAGTCTTGGCTGAAAACTTTAATCAAATTATTAAAGAAAAATATTACACATATCAGAAAATGACATTTTGAGAAAAGTGCTTGATGTATAACATTTTTTAAAAATTTGTTTATGGCAAAAAGTATCAAATAAATATTAAAATGTAAGTTACTGCCAATTAAACTTGATAATTTGCACAAAGTTTCAATCTAGCTCCAACACTAGTTTTAATAGATTTGCACAGAAAATATATTTGGAAATGTAGAGCTTATATTAAAAAAACTGAATATATCAGTGAAAATAGTACATTAAACTACTAAGATATAAATATCATGACTCATGATCTCAGAACTCTGTTTCTTTAACTATAGGGAATTGAGGATATTATGTTAAAGTCATTTTGAATATGCAAATCAGCAAGTTATGTAACAAACACAAGTGATATAAAGTCATGGTGGAATGGAATGTATCAGAAGTACATTTTATCAGCGTGATATCACCAAAAACTTTTTTTTAGAAGGGTACATAACAGCTCTTTCTGACACAAAATGTTCATACACTCAGCACATTCAGATCAGATATTTAGAATTTCTCATATGGGGTATCTCTTACACAAAACAAAGCAATATGGATCAACTTGTGGAACAAGGATCATCCAGAAAGAGACCTGCAAGAAGTCGTACCTCAGCCATGGTAGGCAAAGTGTGTCGCATTGTAACAGGTGAGAATCCATAAACACAAAGGTCAGTGTCAAAAAATTTACACATGGCACATTGTAGCAGGTGAGAATCCATAAACACAAAGGTCAGTGTCAAAACATTTACACATGCAACAGGCAACAATTCACAAGATAATTGAAAAAGACACCTGTGAGGAAAAAAGCTACATAAGCCACTTGTTGTTTACCAAAACATATCAGTTCAACCATCACATACCTCGAACGGCTGGAGAATAAAATGGGTATTCTTGCTATTCCATACAAAGCCATAATAGTCAAGTCACCTGATATAATGTCTATAGATTTCTGTGAAATCAGACAGTTGAAAATGGCATTGGGAAACTCGATGTCCTCATACATTAGATAACTTATGAAAAGCAGCACGAAAAAGAAGCAAGATTTTGACATGACAACCTTATAAAGAAGCTTCTTACAATGTAATCTAAGTTGCAGGGCTGTTGTGAAGATGCATGGTGATCAGAAAGTATATGACTGGACACAGTGACATGGATTGAAATGACATAACGAAGACTCTAAAATTCATTTTAATATAATACACTCAACCTTTGTACTCCAGTACTTGACTGGTGTGACAGTCTGGTAATTAAGGTTATTATCTGTAAAAGATTTGGTACATAAACAATAAAAACTGGAAAGTGACTTCAAAGTCTCAAAATTGTCACACCCAAATTCAATACTTCCTAGAAATGTATGCCAGAAACTGCAATGATTCTATGAAAGCTTACATAGTATTAAATGTAACTTTTTTTTCTAATTATTCAAATTATATAATACTGCTGAAAACAGAAGCAAACTTCTTTGTCAACTTGTCAAAATTAAGGTTACATATTTGTAAATTTTCATAATGAATAACAAATAACCCACAAATTATGACTGGATGGAAGTCTACATAAATGAAAAAACATACAGTACATCCTCAGCAACTGATTTCTTATTCATAAATTTAATTTTCTTCCCCATCAATGCTTTAGACAGATAGTCAAATGTTTTTGTGCAGGCAATACACTACGATGCTTGTGACTGAGACTGTGTGAGATAGTGAAAGTGTACGTCTTGAATCTGGAAGACTTTCTGGATACAAGCAAGTAGACAGTCATGAATTTGTTAAATTTATCTGGATCTCTTCCTCCTTGATATCCATGTTATTAAATGGCAGTTTCTCTTGGTGAGACGTCATGCATTCATTACCGAGTGATGAGCTAAAACAAATTTAGAAGCTAACACTGTGACAAGTTTTGTTAGTCACTCACTGTCTTGGAGTTCCTCAAATGAGAAAGTTGAAATTTACTTCAGTAATGTAAAGTAGGAACTTAGAAAGGCTAAATAAAATCATAAAGGGACACTATTAAAATAACAGACTACGTACAGTTTTTATGCTGACATGGTTATGTCTCTGTTGCCACTCTTAATACGAAACACTTGTTATGGCCAATACCACTAACACGCATTTAAGTTTTATAGCAGTGCATACTCATAGAAAGTATAAGTGAATCAATATGAAAATATTACTAGGAAAAAAAATAAGGGACTCTGGGATGGCAGGTAATGCCATTACCAATTCAAATTGATTGGGTAAATTTTCAAACTTTTGGATAAAGAGGAAAATACTTACCTTATGCATACGTTCTAGTTATACTACAAATAATATTTTAATTAATTTTTCTTATTCCTTTAAATCATTTAGAAACACACAAAAAATAAGTTTTCATTACGTTTTACAATTTATGATTAACTGTATTTATGGATAGCCAGCTTAATAGAAAAATGTAGTATTTTCATACTAATACTTCAAAAGGTATTCCATAAAACTGGAGTTAAGCAAAATGATACATCTGACTTTCCTTTATTACTTTTAACATATTTTCCAAACTGGTTTCATCTCTTGCATCATAAGAAGCTGAACAGGGTGTAGAAATCAGAAAACCAAAAACTGTTTGTACGTAAGCATTAATAATAAAATGCATATCCCACAATAAACACGAATTAGATAACACAATACAATTTTGAGGAAAATGTAATATTATAAAAATTTCAAATAATACATGATTTAATCTTTTTCATGGTTTAATTCTGTTAACCTTCACAATACTCTTTTTCTTTTATTAAGTTTATATAATTCATATCACGAAACGATATTCTTAACTTCTTCTTCTTCAACGTTTCCCAAGTCTCACTTTAACACAGTCTCGAACTGGTTTTTGCTCAATACGTAGTAACAGTGCTCAAATGTTTCCAACATAACCCATTTATACTTTATCCATTCCGTTTTATTTGCCTTCCACCGTCACTTTCTCTATAATAAGTTGTACTTTAAGACATTTCATAAGAATAAGAGTTTATTTACTATAAGAAAACAACACTGGTACTACGTTCAGTATATAAAGTTTTTTTTTTTTCATAAGTCCTTAATAAAAACAACAAGAAGTTAGTTGTTTGTCTTACAGAATTTACTTGGAGTTACATATCAGTTAATTGCATTATCTTATAACACTTCTAATTTACTGATGTAAAATAATATGACATTGTTTTACAGAAAATATACACACAATCTTTGCAAGAGAATATTTTATCAAATATTTAAAATGAATTTTTAACATCCTTTCAAATAATGATACATATATAAATACTGTACAAAAAGTATAAAAACACAAGCTGCAGGCATTCACTATACTGTACCTGAAGACCAAGCAAGAGGCCTAGAATCAGGCTGTTGACTATTGCAACCATTAGAAGGTGCACCAACAGATGTTGGAGGCCTGAAGGCAGAAGAGGACCCCATAAGAGAGAAAGTCCCAGGCTGATAGGAAACAGAAGTAAGTACAGGCAAGGACAGAGCTATAGAACATGCAGGGATAAAGAGAAAAGAATGCCGTACATACGTGATAAGAGCATTAGGAAACTTGAAACATTAATATAGTACAACATGATTAGCTAGATACAAAGATGTCTTCTTTAACATATTATATTATCAAAATATAACAAGTCTCTTTTCAGGTCAATTATGATTACTACTAGATTTCCTCATAAATTTGAAAAACACATTGATGAAAATACGAATATGAAGAGGGTGTAAGTGTACACCTTGTTTCTATAGCTATCTTAAAAGTTATTTATCTGTATCTCAATTCTAAAAATTTTATGATACAAATTCAATCCAAAATATGAAAATTTACCGTTATATCTTTAAAAATATCTTTTTAGTTTTTAATATTGCATTATTGATACTTCTCCCTTAATATCAATTTATCTATTTTTTAGCTGTAATATAAACATAACATAGAGAAAACTATTTCTCATACAAAACATCCCTATAAAACAATGAAGCAATAAATGTATAAGGAATAACAATTAATCTTAGCACAAGAAAAAGTAAACCACTATAAAAATAAACAGTGAACATAAAAAATATCTGATATGAATGGTAATAACTATTTTAATCACTATATTTTCTTTTTTTACAACATGTTTACGAAACCTTTGAATTAGACATTTTGTTCTTTATTATAATTGTTGAGACTTGAACTTAACGGTTCCTTTTTATACCCCCAATATAAGATGAGAATAATATATAGTTCCCCGAAGTAGTTCTTCTTTCATTCAGTTGTTTACATAATGTAGGAATATATTCATGCAAAGGAAATTATATTCTCATATTGTAATATAAAACATGGCATATAAAAAGTATGTAAGCTATTTTGGAATGAAAGAGTACGGTACACGTGTTTATATAAGTCACACAAACTTCCTTATCATAATCCATATCAGGTTTCATTGGATAGCATTCATTACCATAAACTTGTTTAAAGAATCAGATAGCACATCTTCAAAAATTGATAGTTGGAATTTTTATAATAAGATTTAGATTTTGTATAAATAGAAATATGGAGCTTTACATCATGTCTTCTACTCTTTCTTTAAATGGTATAAAAAGCAAAGAAAGGGGAAAAAGAAAATTGCTTTGCTGAACACACAAATGCCTAAAAAAAAAAAAGTCAGAAATATAAAGATATTAAGTAATTGTTTACAGCTATCTAAACTTTTATTAAAAATACTAATAGCAAAAACACATAAAACAACTTAATTGAGAAAGTTCACTTTTGAATATGTTTTAACCCTTTCCAGACGGGTCACGCGTCAAAGGCCATGTCATCACGTTTGTTCACTTGCATTCAAAATTTTATTGAACTACTATTTCATGAATTTATGTCAATAAGTTTAGTATCAAACTGTAGATTATAATTCAAATTTTAGTATTATACATTATTCAATTTCATAATTTGAAAGTAAATATTAAAAAACAGTTAAACATCGATTTTTGTGTGACACGCGTTGAATGCAGCACTGGTTCAAATTAGATGTTTGTGAAGTCAAAATACTGAGTCTATAGTTTCGTACAAATTAGGAACTCAAATTACTGATATTGACAAGCTAGAATAAAAGAACCTCTTACCTTTTCTATTTGCTAAGATATCGCTCATGTACTGAATCACACACAGTATTTGATGTATTATTATTCTATGTTTTTGTGTTATAATCTGTTGTCATTTTAGAATGAAAGAGGCATAATACATATATTTATTTCCTAATTTTTTATGGTGATTACAAGATTGGTCAAATATATCAAACCCGTACAGAGATTCGTTACTAAAAATAACAGATAAAATGTAAAGTTTTTTTCTTAAGAAACATTTGTTAACTATCTGAACATTATAAAGATTTTGCATGTGAAATTTGAAAGTATTTTTAATCTTAAAATGAAAATTACTTTGCATATTGGATAGACAACATGCAAAAAGAAAAGAAAAAAAAAGGCACGAGAAAAACATTCCTCTACAAACCTTAAAACTTAATAAGAAAATTGATATTTTGCATATGAAAGCACTGTAATGTAACCGATAATCTGCCATATTTCATTAACATACGGTCACTAATTTAAAAGTTATAGCATGAAAACTATAACAAGCACAAAATGGTTACGAGGTCGATCCCAGGGGCGAACCCATGCTGAAAGAGTTAACCTATTTAACGAAATTATAAAATTAAATAACTTAGAAATATTAGCTTAAAACCACAGGTTAATCATAACAAATCACTTTCAAAATTCAAAAGTATTAACCACAAATAATGAAAACAGTTGTATATATTGTCGTGGATGAAAAATTATTGTACTCAAAATTCTAGCTCTTTCCATATACCAAATTCAGATGAAAATCACTCCTTCAACACTAATTAGATCAGAACAATACTTTGACTGTTATATTTTATACCAAGGCATCAGTAAAATCTCATTACTATGGAGTTCTGTAAATGGATCTTGCAAGTTAACTAACAAATATTATACCAAGTAGATAAACTGCAATTGAAAAATCAAACTTTCTTTTTTGAAATTGACTGAGCTCAACTAACCTTTTGGATAACTCTGAGAGTTCTGATCAGGCTTGTCCATAGTAAAAACCATCAATGGCAGACCTATAATAAAAAACACACAGTCTGTTTGCAACCGCTATTAAATTATTTACACTAAAAGCTTTGTAATTTATTCTAAAGAGGTGAATATTGAAATAGAAGTTTTAGTGTTCACTTCTCCAAGAAAATATTAAAGACCAGAAGATGGTTTTGTCACCCTTAAGACTTCTATAACTACTACATGTAGAGAACTTGTGATTGTGTATTTACTTAATATTCTCCTGTCATCCTTTAAGACTTATCTATCTTCTAACAAAAGAAGAAATATAATTTCCTAGGTTTCTTATGTCACCCTGTAATATTTCAATATTTACTAAGGATTGAAAAAATAGAATGTGCTTGACTTCTTGCATCATTATTAAGATTTCTCCAGTTACATAAAAAAATAAAAGAACAGATAAATTGTACAAAGTTTCTTGTATCACCATTACAATCTCCATGGTTAGTGAAAAAAAAAAGACATATAATTTAACAAGTTTCTATCTTTAATTGTTTATAATGCAGATATTCCTTCATGTATGTAATCAAGATATCTCAAGTAAGGAACGAAATAACCAATAACAAGAATTTATCCAAGTATTTCTGACCAAAAATTTTCAATCTTTTAGTTGAGGACTTGAACTGTACATACAGATAATGTTAAGTAAATCCAACATCTAACACAACATCAAACAAAAAAAATTATCCTTTCATATACTGGGTCCTTTCAATCAGAGGATAACCAACATGAAAAACCAATAATAATTCTTTTAATACAAATAAACTGCTCTATAATACTATTGTTAGCCTGAAATGTTTACGGTTAGATTTTTTAAAATCAATGCTCAGAATATGGGCCAGGTATGATACAAGTACTTCTTAAATTATTAATAACATGTAATTATAACGGTTAATTACTTAAATATAATTCGAGTGAAGAAATTCTAATGAAATCACAGGATCACAATTTGACCTCTGACGTTACCCAATTTTATTTGGTATTTTATATTATATCAAACTAAGATATCGTGCTGTCCTCTATTGAAGGAAATAGTAACTAGTAATATATATATATATTATGGGCCAGGTATGATACAAGTACTTCTTAAATTATTAATAACATATAATTATAACGGTTAACTACTTAAATATAATTCGAGTAAAGAAATTCTAATGAAATCACAGGATCACAATTTGACCTCTGACGTTACCCAATTTATTAATAATCAAATAATCAATATATTATATATATATAATAACATTTATTTTAACAATCTTATTAAATGACAAAAAAAATAAGTTTATACATTCCTTACTTCAACATAACAATTGTATTGAACTTCTAAGTCACTGGTTAATTGTCTGATTGATTATCATTCAGATCATATATTTAAAATCAGATCATATTGCTTGGAGAAAAATTATATATATATACATATAAACAAACACACACAACTATTTTTATTCAAAGTAATTGTTGTTGTTTTGTTTGTTTTTTTGCCAAGAATGAAGACACAGTGTTGATCCAATAAAGTTCAACATACGGAAATTAAATGTGTGTATTACCAGATTACTAGAAATTCAGGTTTTCAGTTTATCATACCGTCCACAAAAAGTGTTCTCAATTATAACGTATTTATTCTGTTACTCCAATTTCATATAAAGATTTACACGTACAGAGTTAGGCTCTTTTAATTACTTCTCAACTTCCCCATTCCAAGGCCTTTAAAGTAATGATAAACGAATATATTTTAACTAAATAACTTCGATATTCCAAAACAGTTAGAAGATTCTGAATTAATATTTTCTTTTAAAAACATTTTTTAATATAAACATTGGCTTATTAAGACTTTTTATAAGCAAGGAGAAACAAACGGAAGCTGCTACAAAATGAAAATATGGTGGACGAAGAAATGTTGTTTTTAATGGCACCGGAACGTTGCAGTAACCAGAGGACATTCATATTACGAGATCGAAAGAGGCTGGCAACTATAACAAACAGAATAAGCGAAGCCCACGTCCCGGCGTGCTAATCAATACGCTAAAGCGAGCTATCTGTTTCTACCCCCAAACTCTCTCCTTCCCGCGCTTTGATCTCCACAAGAAACTCGACAACAGAGAAGAAGAGGAGTGATCAAAGCAAGGCTAGCACTTGCATATAATTATCACAAGAAAGAGAAAGATGGCGACTGTTCGTTCCTAAGATGAGGAAAGTCTGGGACTGCAGACTCCACATTTAGGGTACTTTGTGATGGCCCGGCTACACGTAAACACAAGCTAATTATGTGTTAGGATAAATATTTATAAAGAAATTGAAATAACTTTTTTTTACTACACAGTGACTTTGATTTGTTTAAGGTGTTCTAATACAAACCCAAGTTAAACAACAAATCGTACACTTGTTTAATGTTTAGAAAGTATCATATTTCCCAGGTTTTGTTAAATAATTAACGTGTAAAATCCTGTTGTATCCAGCCAAAATATAAACAAGATTCTGGTGTCATCTCAAGAATATCTATTAATTAAACATGGCAACTGGTACATTGAATTCATGATTTAACTTTTATATATAACTTCAAATATTTTCGATAAATAATAAATACAAGGCTGTCAATATTTTCTTTGGGATATATATATATATATATATACATTTTTATATTCATACGTCGCTGCTTGTCATATAAAACTATCAGTTGCTTGTTTTGATATTGATAATACATACGTTTTCTTGCAAAACTAACAAATAACATTCTTCAATGGGGTTTCCATTTGATTATAACTTACCTTGTGCAGAAGGGATTCATATAATCAGATATTTATTGATTCTATATGGGTACCTACAAAAGAAACAAATAACACACTTAACCAAAATAATGCTAAACAGTTTTTTTATATTAAATATGCAGTCGACGGTAAATAAATAAAAAAATGTACATTTGTACGTTTTTCTGGAATTATTTTACTTGTCAAGCAAGTTTTTAGCCAAATGATGCAGTGACTGATAAGAAAGGATATGTTTGCGTCAGATTTTTTTTTAAACAGCTACACAAAGGGGTACCTGCTCATAGCAGACCCTAATCTTGAACTCATAAGACAACATGGAAGGCAGCTCTAGTCAACAGAACCCACCATCAACTCTTGTGCTACAATTGTCTGACCGAACACTGGGATTTGACCGTCACTCTTATGACGCACCCAATGCCCCGAAGTGTGGATCGTGTTTTTGAGACAACGGGCCGCGAACAACAAACCCACAGATTCGAAATCAGAACATGATACCGACTAAGCCACGCCCGGGGGGAATAACACCTCGTGTTTTAACAGTAGACTGACAGACAACGATTTATATGAATAATGAAGTGGTTTTATTTTGGGGAACATCCTACACGTTTCGATAAAAGAAGGCAGACAAATGGTCCAAGGATACATTTAGTATGTTTCCCAGAATAAATTACTGTTTGTCAATTTACTGTTACATTAACATAATGTGCTTCCATACACAGATTAATGTTTTAACCGCGAGTATGTTTTACCAACTGTTATTTTCCCTTTTATTATGTTGTAATTACACTGCTTTGAAGAAACCAGGGGGCTTCCAAATAAACATTCACGAAAACTCGACTGACAAAATCTTCCACCTCCCCCTCCCCCCCATACCGTAACTTTCAAAACGAAAACAATAACTCAGTTCGGGTTAAATCTTTCATTAAATGGAAATACACACACACATTAAAACGTTTCGTAGTTAAAACATGAAGCTATTTATCACGCCACATCCAATTCGAAAAATAACTCAAACTTTATGATTTCGTAGTAAGTCACGTATTTATTTACTTTTAAAAATATTTTGTTAGTAATGGCAGAAAAAAAAATGTAAAGCTAACTCCACGAAGTTTTTGAAAGCAAAAATTCATTTCACCCGTTCAAGACGGGTCACAGGTGAAAGGCTATGTCATCTCGTTTATTGACTCGCATTCAAAATTTTATTGAGCTACTATTTCATAAATTTATGTCAATAAGTTTGGCACCAAACTGTAGATTATAACTCAAATGTTAGAACTATAACTTTACATTACTCAATTTGTTAATTTAAAAGTAAATATTAAAAAACACAGATAAACATCGATTTTTGTGTGTCACGTGGTATGTTGAATGCAGCACTGGTTCAAATTAGATGTTTGTGAAGTCTATAGTTTCATACGAATTGGAAATTCAAATTACAGATATTGACAAGCTAGAATATAAAACAAGAACCTCTTATCTTTTCTATTTGCTAAGATATTGCTCACGTAATAAAACGAAAAAGGAATGAACTTGTTCATTTCACGTTTTCTTTGTTTTCTGTTTTTAGCATTATAAGTCTTCAAGCTTACCGACGAGTCTCTGGAGAGCTTTAGGTTTACATCCCATCCATTAAATACCAAACTTTACATACACACAAACTAGAACGTTTCCTATGATCTTGTATAGCTTACCTTTAATTAAGTCTATCTTACATTCACAGTTTCGTTACTGCTCTACAAAAATTTCACCAAGCTTCAAAATAAAATAATTTCGGTCTTAAAATACCGGTAATTTGTACGATACGTTATTGGATTCTTCTTGTCGTTAACTTCTGATCAGAACAAGCTACCTATATAGGTTAGATTTAACAGTTAACTCAATAAATAACGCAGCTAATTCAATATACCGATCTAACTAGGCTGGCAATATTATTTCAAACGTACTCGAAGAGTCGACATAAATCCACCCGTCTTAACGTATCAACAATTACATTCACTAAACCAACTAATATGTTCCTTTAATTTATGACTACTGCAACTTAAACAATTCATGTCAAGTTTTAGTTAACACTGAGAAAATGTACCAAACTCGTTGTTTTAAAAAAAAGAAGTAAAATGTTACGAATTTATTTCACTTTTGAAGTGTGTAGCAGAGATTCTTGGATGAACACTATTTTGCTTTACATCATCACACACGTGAATACGAATATTTAAATAAACGTATTTTCAACATTATGGTATGTAACGCGGCATGCAACTAAAATAACACTAATACAAAACCACCCAGGTTCATATAATAAACGTCTTCGTAAACAAAAATATAAATTTTATCATAAAAACGATCTTCCAATTTTCACGTGGGAAGATAGTACACGTACGAGATGTGTTCTTAGGAAGATACTACCCGTACGAGATGTGTTCTTAGGAAGATAGTACCCGTACGAGATGTGTTCTTATGAAGATAGTACTCGTACGAGATGTGTTCTTAGGAAGATAGTACCCGTACGGCAATGTGTTCTTAGGAAGATAGTATCCGTACGGCAATGTGTTCTTAGGAAAAATAGTATCCGTACGGGATATGTTCTTAGGAAGATAGTACCCGTACGGCAATGTGTTCTTAGGAAAAATAGTATCCGTACGGGATGTGTTCTTAGGAAGAATAGTAACCGTACGGGATGTGTTCTTAGGAAAATAGTACCAGTACGGGATGAGTTCCTAGGAAGATAGTATCCGTACGGGATGTGTTCTTAGTAAGATAGTACCCGTACGGCAATGTGTTTTTAGGAAAAATAGTATCCGTACGGGATGTGTTCTTAGGAAAATAGAACCAGTACGGGATGAGTTCCTAGGAAGATAGTATCCGTACGGGATGTGTTCTTAGGAAGATAGTACCCGTACGGCAATGTGTTCTTAAAAACAAAAAAGTTTTTCTCTGTACTTTTAATAAAACGGATTGAAACAGTGTGTTCTGCCGATTTTTTTTATTATTATTTTGCGAAGACGTTTCGGGCTCCATGCTGAGTTAGTAGAGATGACATTTCCGAATCCATGCTTAATTAGTGTAGAGACGTTTCGGGCTCCATTCTAAGTTAGTGTAGAAGACGTTTCGGGCTCCATACTCAATTAGTGTAGAGACGTTTCGGGCTCCATTCTAAGTTAGTGTAGAAGACGCTTCGGGCTCCATGCTCAATTAGTGTAGAGACGTTTCGGGCTCCATTCTAAGTTAGTGTAGAAAACGTTTCGGGCTCCATGCTCAATTAGTGTAGACGACGTTCTGGGCTCCATACTAAGTTGGTACAGATAACGTTTCCGAACCCATGCTCAATTAGTGTGGACGATGTTTCGGGCTCCATGCTGAGTTAGTGTAGACGACGTTTCGGGTTCAATGGTGCCCTAAATGACTTTTCGAAATCAGAAGTCCATAGTAAACTCTGCCCAACAGTTTCACTGCACCAGCTTCTATATACAGCACAGCCTTACTCTACTCCTTGAATAAATATTTTACCATTCTATATACAACGCAGCCTTACTCTACTCCTTAAATAAATGTTTTACCATTCTATATACAGCACAGCCTTACTCTACTCCTTAAATAAATGTTTTACCATTCTATATACAACACAGACTTACTCTACTCCTTAAATAAATGTTTTACCATTCTATATACAGCACAGCCTTACTCTACTCCTTAAATAAATGTTTTACCATTCTATATACAACGCAGCCTTACTCTACTCCTTAAATAAATGTTTTACCATTCTATATACAGCACAGCCTTAATCTACTCCTTGAATAAATGTTTTACCATTCTATATACAGCACAGCCTTACTCTACTCCTAAAACAAATGTTTTACCATTCTATATACAGCACAGCCTTACTCTACTCCTAAAACAAATGTTTTACCATTCTATATACAGCACAGCCTTACTCTACTCCTTAAATAAATGTTTTACCATTCTATATACAGCACAGTCTTACTCTACTCCTAAAACAAATGTTTTACCATTCTATATACAACACAGCCTTACTCTACTCCTTAAATAAATGTTTTACCATTCTATATACAGCACAGCCTTAATCTACTCCTTAAATAAATGTTTTACCATTCTATATACAGCACAGCCTTAATCTACTCCTTAAATAAATGTTTTACCATTCTATATACAGCACAGCCTTACTCTACTCCTTAAATAAATGTTTTACCATTCTAAGGAAAGATTCCTCCTCTACTTTTTCACACACCCCCTCTTTTCTGAAGGACCTGCTACACTGCAATAAATTAGTTATCTTACCTTTATCTGTGCATGTTATTCCACAAAGAATCGCGTCACTGACTGCATTTAAGTTCAAATATTAAACTTTGGGAAAAAAAAGAGAAAGCGCTCTCTGGCGAAGATGATTCACACTCGAATTATTGTTGTTGTTTGTTTCGGATATTCGCGCAAAGCTACAAAGGGCTATCTGCGCTAGCCGTTCCTAATTTTGAACTGATAAACTAGAAGAAAGGCAGCTGGTCAACTCCATCTAGTGCCAACTACTCCAGGCTGATCGAATAGTGGGCTTTGACCGTCACTCTTACAGAGCACCCAAAGTACAGAGCACATTTTAACAGTAACGGGATGTGAACCGAGGACTTTCGGATTCACAGTACAGGCATTCTAACCACTAGGGTCCTACTCTGTTACGAAATCATTACATACAGATTACGTTGTTTTATTGGACGTTAATAGGCTTATTACTCACTTATCAAATCACTAGACACCTGTTACGTAGTTTAATTGACCCCTAATATGCTTGCTACAGAGTTATCAAGTCACTATCTACATGTTACGTGTGTTGTAAATTAAAAAAAAAAGTTTGTTTTTTTAGAGGGGGCGGAAGTCCAAGAAATTCTATAATATCACTCTTAACAACTGTGAGTTTTTGTCTTTTTTTAATTACAGTTTTTGGGAACACAAACCATTTGACATTAGCCTAACCTAGTTATTAAAATCACCAATACTGGAAGTTTCAGTTTTCTATTTGTGATTAGGAACTAAGTCCTACGAAACG